AACTGCTGGGAACGCGGCGGGAAAGGGTGACTCGGTCGCTGCCAGCCTTCACCCTGCGCCTGAAGTTTGAGTGGAGTTCTTGGTCCCCAGGCCCCTCCGCCGCGGGAAGGTGACGGCCCTCGCTGGCCCGCTGCACGACCCTGGGCGCCCCGGGCCTGTCCACCGCAGCCTCTCGCGGGCCGGGCCGCAGCATCTGGCTGCGCGCTTCCGGGTCGGGCAGGGAACGGCCAGGGTGGGACAGGAATGGGCTTGGGGACCCGGCACTCCCCACCGAGATGGGGCGACGCCCAGCTCCCCGGCCCCTGCACACCGACCCCCTAGCTCCCTCATGCACTGGCTGCTGCTAAAAACAATGCTAGCCTAAAGATATAGGAATCTCTTTGACAAAATGACCTTCATGTTAAGGGGAAATGCTGTTATCTACTCAGACATGCATCTGTGATGTTCATCGTCTTGTTTCAGTTATAATAGTTGTCTTGTTTCTTTTCCTTGATTTTGTTAATGTATATATACCTTAACACGGGGTAGGGAGAAGTGGCACAGTGTATTGCATTATATACATTTATCATTGAATTACCTAATGTTACATTGTAGATAAACACTATTAAGTGGTAATACTTGAAAAGGAGCCCTTATACAATAAGTCTTAAGAAATAATGTTTGTAATAAACTTAACTATGTTACATATCAACAGGCAAAAATATAGAATGTTACATAGTGTTATATGATTAAATTATAGTTCTTGCTGGAAAAAAAAAAAAAAAAAAAAAACAACCAACCTGCCTCTCTGCAGCCACCCCAACCGGCAAAAGGTGCTGATCATCGGGGGTGGAGACAAAGGTGTTCTGCGGGAGGTGGTGAAGCATCCCTCCGTGGAGTCGTGGTCCAGTGTGAGATCTTCGAGGATGTCATCCAAGCCTCCAAGAGGTTCCTGCCGGGGATGGCTGTTGGCTATTCTAGCTTGAAGCTGACCCTACATGTGGGTGATGGTTTTGAGTTCATGAAGCAGAACCAGGATGCCTTTGATGTGATCATCACTGACTCCTCAGACCCCATGGGCCCCGCCGAAAGTCTCTTCAAAGAGTCCTATTACCAGCTCATGAAGACGGCCCTCAAGGAAGATGGCGTCCTCTGCTGCCAGGGTGAGTGCCAGTGGCTGCACCTGGACCTCATCAAGGAGATGCGGCAGTTCTGCCAGTCACTGTTCCCCGTGTGGCCTACGCCTACTGCACCATCCCCACCTACCCCAGCGGCCAGATCAGCTTCATGCTGTGCAGCAAGAACCCGAGCACCAGCTTCCAGGAGCCGGTGCAGCCGCTGAGGCAGCACCAGGTGGCACAGATGCAGCTGAAGTACTACCACTCTGATGTGCCCCGCGCCACCTTCGTGCTGCCTGAGTTTGCCCGCAAGGCCCTGAATTATGTGAGCTGAGCCCAGGCGCCACCACTGATGCCAGCCAGGACCTCGGACCAGGGAGCCTGCAGGGTGCCTGGGCCCCTCCAGCCCTGGGCCAGCCCTCCTGCCAAGTGTTACAAGCACCAGAATGCTGCCCGGCCTGCCCTGCTGGGCGGACTGTCTGTGTGTCTGTCTCTCGGCATTCCACCTCCTATACCAGCTGGTACAGCGCCATCTCTCTGCCTTCTGTTGCCCCTCACTCACCAAACACGTGTATTTATAACAAAGAAAAAAAAAATGAGAGTTCTGACTCCAAGCCTTCCATGGAGGAAGGCCAGTACTGGATTTTCTGGGGAAGGAGCCTCTCATTTTTTCTCCCGAGCTACAGAATTTCTAAGGAACCCATATACTGGAAATTATACCTGAAGGCCGGTCACAGGGAAGAAAGAGCTGAGAAGTCTACACTTCCGCTTGGAGAGTACAGCGCCACTGAGAATGCTGGTCCACACTCCCCGGCAACTTCTCCTCTTTAGAATAATGCTGTGTGTGCGCTGTAGGTCTATCTCCCACTGCGCATCAACAGCAGAAGCTACGTGCTATCAAAGTCACATCAAGAAGGCAGCAACGCATGCACCAGACAGGCATCCCCACCTCAGACAATCCCTTAGTGATTCCCAATATGTCAGTCCACAGTATCGATCAAGTTATACATCACTGTTCTCACTACCTCAGGTCTCAGTCCCCAGTATGGCACTTTTTTGGAGACAGAGTCTGACTCTGTCACCCAAGCTGGACTGTAGTGGCATGATCTCTGCTCACTGCAACCTCTAGCCCCCGGGCTTAAACAATTCTCATGTCTCAGCCTCCCCGAGTAGCTGGGACTACAGGCGCATGCCACCATGCCTGGCAATTTTTTTGTATTTGTGGTAGAGACAGGGTTTTATCATGTTTCCCAGGCTGGTCTCAAACTCCTGAGCTCAGACAATCTGCCCCTCTCCGCCTCTCAAAGTGCTAGGATTACAGGCATGAGTCAACTTGCCCGGCCACAATATAGCACTTCTAATCCAGAGGGCCAGCCAAAGATGTCGAGAGCAGTAAGAAACTGTAAATTGCAAACACCAGGGAAAAAAGAATAGCAGAAAGACAGCATGGGAGGATACAAATAACTGCCCAAGTGAAGAAGCCAGGGTCTTAGAACCAGCTGGGCTAACAGGTGATGACTGTCAGAAACTTCCTGGGGCTTGAGTTGAATTGTCCCCTGAATTGTAACCATCCCATTTAATTTAGCAGGGGAGAGTGAGGACATGAGCTGGTTCTTTATGCTTATGCACGTGTTTTTATTCAGAATGATTTTTGCTTAACTTTATACTTTTGGAATTTTCCTTAATTTTTGTTGTTGTTGTTTGGGGGTGTGTGTGTGTGTGTGTGTGTGTGTGTGTGTGAAAGATCTCACTCTGTCACTCAGGCTAGAGTACAGTGGGCATGAGCACAGCTCACTACAGCCTCATCCATTTAGGCTAAAATGATCCTCTTCCCACCTCAGCAACCTCCCCCACCCCCGCCCATCCCAGAAGCTGGAACTAAAGGGGCACGATACCATGCCCAGCTAATTTTTTGTATTTTTTATCAGAGACAGGGTTTCACCTTGTTTTCCAGGGTGGTCTCAAACTCCTGGCCTCAAGCAGTCTACCTGCTTCAGCCTCCCAAAGTGCTGAGATCACAGGTGTGAGCCACCTCGCCCAACCCTCCCCTGTGCGGTGTTCGCGCCAAGGGCTTGAGACAGCAGTGTGACTCGCCCCATCTTGGCTGCTGGACCTATCTGCACTCCCCCATCTCGAGGGCTGTCAAGCTGAGACAAAGGCCGAGGGCTGAGTCACTGAAGCAAAAACAGAATACAAAGCAAAGGTCTGCGGCTTATGAGGGCATTGTGTTGTCTGCTTTCATGTCCCCATCAGTCTCTGTGTAAGCAATAAACTCGCTGCAATTGAGATGCCTAAGAGGGACAAGAGACCCCTGCCCATATTTTCCCTGGAGCTAAGCCTTTGATCTAACTCCTGTTGGAAAACAGGTTTAACAAGCCACCTTAAAGGCGCCATTGTTTGTTTGCACTGTGCATCTTTGGAAAACAAACTGCTTTGTAAACTATTATCACAAACCCCTTAAACTACTTTGTGAGCGGTTATCACAAGCCCCTGATAACTGGCAGGATATGAATTCTGGGCTGAAAGTTTGTTCTTTAAGTATATTGAATATTGGCCCCCACTCTCTTCTAGCTTGTAGGGTTTCCGTTGAGAGATCTGCTGTAAGCCTAATAGGCTTACCTTTATGGGTAACTTGATCTTTCTCTCTGGCTGCCCTTAATATTTCTCCTTCGTTTCGATCTTGGTGAATCTAACGATTATGTGCCTTGGGGTTGGTCTTCTTGAGGAATATCTTTGTGGTGTTCTCTGTATTGCCTGGGGTTGAATAGTGTCCTGCTTTGCTAAATTAGGAAAATTTTCCTGGATAATGTCCTGGAGAGTATTTTCCAGCTTGACTTCATTCTCTCCGTCACATTCAGGTACACCAATCAAGCGTATATTAGGTCTTTTCACATAGTCCCATATTGCTTGGAGACTTTGCTCATTCCTTTTTATCCTTTTTCTCTATTCTTGTCTTGTCGTTTTGTTTCATTAAGTTGGTCTTCGACCTCTAATACCCTTCTTCTGCTTGATCCATTCGGCTGTTTAAGCTTGTACATATTTCACTCAGTTCTCATGTTGTATTTTTCAACTCCATAAGTTCATTTGTATTCCTCTCTATATTGTCTATTCTTTTCAACATTTCATCGAACCTTTTTTTCCAAATTCTTAGTTTCTTTACATTGGGTTAGAACAAGTTCCTTTAACTCCCAGAAGTTTCTTATCATCCACCTTTTAAAGCCTACTTCAGACAATGGAACACAGTCCCTTCCATCAGGGCCCGTTCAGTTACTGATGAGTCCCTTTCCATCAGGCTTGTTCGGTTGCTGATGAGTCCTTTTTCCATCAGGGCCTGCTCCGCCGCTGATGGGTTCCGACCTTGAGTATACTCGGCCTTCCTAGGCTGTTTTTTTCCCTTCATTATAGATGAACCGCCTTTCTAATTAGTTTTCTGAGTCGACGTCCGACTTACTGATTCCCAGTGCTGGGATCCGAGCCACCCACTGTGGCAGCCTAAATAGCAGCGATAAGACTGATGGTGCTCTTCTGCCCGGGAATCTGGTCTGGCTTCCCTCTTGAGTCCGCAACAAGCGGCTCTGACTTCCCGGAGCTCCAAACTCTGGTCAGATTAGGGGAAGCAGTCCCGTTGGCTCTGCGTGAAGAGCTGCTGCGCCGAGACGCTGGCAAAACCGCTGCGGCGGCCACAAGAGTCGCGCTGGCGACCCGTGGGGCTCCTCCACTGGGAATCGGCTAATCGGTGAGTGACGAAAATTCGTCTAAAGATGTGGCGTCGTCTCGTTCTCTGAGCTTTCACTGGGAGCTACAATCCTGAGCTGTTAGTGGTCGGCCATCTTGAATCGATCCTCGATAACTATTTTTTATGGAGTTTCTATTTCCTTTCTCTTTATCCCTTTTCTGCTGAGATAAAGTAAATGTAAACAAGAAAAAAGGTATAAAAGCTGTAACCCACAAGAATAAATTTGCTGCATTTTAACCATAAGTTACGCAGACCTCCAGACTCTGCTTTCCTTTATTCTTTCACTTCCGCGCACTCTCTCCCTCAGGTTGAACGAGACATCTACGTTGGCGGTCTCAGGGACTCCCGCAGGTTGGTAGCCCCCCGCCAGATGTGCCGGACCCCAACACTCCCCTGAATGTTGAGTCTCAAAATCCTCTAAGTGGCATTATTCCTGTTATGCAGACAAAGAAAATGAGGCCCTAGAGGGTTCTGATATGAACAAAAAGAACCAGCACAGGTCATCTCCTCCTCATTCTCTTTCAGTAAGTAGTTTTCCCTACACCGAAGACTGCTGGTAATTGACTTTCTCAGCTTCTGTTTTCCTGACCAAGAGCCAAGGTGGTAAAGAGACAGAACAGCCACTATCTTGAGAGTGCCTGGAAACACGCTGAGTCCTGAAGGACATGGACTGTTTTCTATTCATATCATTGCCCAGGGCACATCCTAGGAGAAGGATGAAGGCACTGCCGAATTCAATCAAGTCAAAAACTGTCACTTTCCTACCTGCATGTAGACCACCTAAAAAATAATCTCAATGCTTACCTATCCACAGCTCTGTCTAGCAAGTAAAACAGAGCCTGAAGTCCACATGTTGGACTGACTTGTGGGGATGATGCAACCTGGCAGTAAAGAGGGCAATGGAGGCTCCTGTTGGGTCCCGAACATTCTAAAGCAAATAAAACAAGAAACATTTAAAAATCAAATAGAAAACCAGAGCAGTTACTAAGACATATAGTGGATAAGGGTTTGATACGTGAAGAAAGCAGATGCTAACAGTAATTCCCTGACCTCACCCATTTCTCCCCAGAGGGAAGAATGTTAATATCATCCCTTGGCTGATTCTCTCAGGACTCCCTGGACCTTATTTCTGTGGTAAGAAAAAAAATCACATTCTCTTAGCTCTTCAACTGCTGACAGATCAAAAGATGACTTCCTAGCTAACTTCCCCAGCAGGATGGCCAAAGAAACAAGCAGCAGGAGAGAACCAGGCAACAGGACCATGATTTCCACCCTCTGCCATTAAAAAACTTGTTGGGGCTTGAGTTAAAAGTGCCATTAAATGTTTACTTGAAAGGCTGAGGTCTCAGCTAAGTGGAGGGCTTGTGTTAAATATGGAAGCATGGGTGTCTGACACATCGCACATCTATCGCAAAGACCACGACTAACCTTAACGGACAAAATGAAGAAACTTTTTAAAGTCTACTGCATGACTGACTTTCCATAATTCAGTTATTCAATTATCATTAGCAACTCTAATTACTAGTAATTATTAGTAATTCAATTATTACTAAAATAATTTTATAACAAACTGCATGGCTGTTTCACATCTGCTCCTAACTCTGGAGACTCTCTAGATTCAGGATAACATATGCAGGAACAAAGTCCAAACATGACACTGGTCAAAAAAAGGCAATAATGAAGCCCTACAAGATAGGTCCCTAAAGACTCACTAAGATGGTGAATTTTCCACTGAGGATCTCAGAACGAAGAGGTTCCTCATGAGGGTTCAGCTTCACAATGCCTTCCCTCCTTCGAGTTTCCTAAAAAGGAAGCACAGCAGAATGTAGTAATATGAAAATACTGTATATCCAGGACAGCTCCATGTAACCACCAAATCTCAGAGGGAAGGTGGTTATCAGTGAATGAATTATAAATTTCATAATCTAAATAAATTTCAGAACTAATTTTATAACTAATACTACTTCATTTAATTGAATTAGAATTCAACTAAATGGGACAGGTATGGTGGCTCATGATTGTAATCCCAGCACTTTGGGAAGCCAAGATGGGCAGATCACCTAAGGTCGGGGGTTCGAGACCACTAGGGCAACATGGTGAAACCCTGTCCCTACTAAAAATTAGCCTCATATTGTGGTGCACCCTGTAATCCCAGCTACTCGGGAGGCTGAGGCAGGAGAATCAGCTTGACCTGGGAGGTGGAGGTTGTACTGAGCCGAGATATCACCACTGCACTTTAGTCTGGGCAACAGAATGAGACTCCATTTCAAATTAAAAAAAAAAAAAAAGAATTCGGCTAAATGAATAATAAAGTCAACTAAATGAATTATGAATTTCTTTGTAACCTGCTTCCAAGCCAGCCAACCATTTTCAGAATTCCTGTCCGAAGATCCTTTATCAGCCCCTCAGGTAGGGTATTTTTCTCTGAATTAGTAAGAATCATAATCCTGAAGAGTAACCAGTGTGTTACATTGAGGTTCAGGATCAAGGTCCTTAAACACGCAGCAGCACCAACATGGTACCAGGACACTAAAATATGAACCTCAAAATGTCTGGATGCATTCATCGTCACACATCTTCTAGGTTTAGGCCTCTCCTATGTTTGAATAGGAGTCCTCTCTCCACCTGATATAGTCTCCAACGATAGCTACCATGACTTCATTTTCCTCCCTCTGATGGCCAGATTCTTTTCTTCCTCCTCTTTCTTTCTTTCATTCTTTCTTTCCTTCTTTCTGTCTTTCTTTCTCTCTTTCTCTTTCTAATAAGAGACAGGGTCTCACTATGTTGCCCAGGCTGGTCTCAAACTCCTGACTTGAAGCAGTCCTCCTGCCTCAGCCTTTTGAGTACCTGGGCTTACAGGTGTGCACCACCATGCCCAGCTTGATGGCCAGATTTTTATTTATATCTTTATTTTTTATTTTATTGAGCTGGAGTCTTACTCTATCGCTCAGGCTGGAGTGCAGTGGCGCAATCTCAGCTCACTGCAACCTCCGTCTCCCGGGTTCAAGAGATTCTCCTGCCTCAGCCTCCCAAGTAGCTGGGATTATAGGTGCATGCCACCATGCCTGGCTAATTTTTGTATTTTTAGTAGAGACAGAGTTTCACCATGTTGGCCAGGCTAGTCTCAAACTCCTGACCTCAGGTGATCCACTCACCTCAGCCTCCCAAAGTGCTGGGGTTACAGGCATGAGCCACTGTGCCCAGTCTTGACGGCCAGATTTTTTACTCATCCCCATTTCCCTAGACATAGTCCATTGCATTCTGGTTCTATCCCAACCCAACTGCTACACTGGAAGCTCCTGCTATAGTAACCAGGATCTTCAAGTCATTGAATTCACTGGACATTTCAGTCTTCCTTTCTTTTTCAAAAATATTTTTATTGGCACTGAGTCTCACACTATTGCCGAGGCTGGAGTGCAGTGGCATGATGTCGGTTCACTGCAACCACCATCTCCAAGAGATTCTCTTGCCTCAGCCTCCTGAGTAGCTGGGATTACATGTGCATGCCACCATGCCTGGTCAATTTTTGTGTTTTTAGTAGAGACAGCCTTTCGCCATGTTGCCCAGGCTGGTCTTGAACTCCTGGGCTGAAGCCATTTACCTGCCTCGGCCCCCCAAAGTGCTGGGATTACAGGCATGAGCCACTCTGTCAGCCTCCAGTCCTCCTTTTAAATGACAAGATTCACCACTTACATTTCCTTTTTCTGGAGACATTCTCTACCTTTGTATTCCATGATAACAAAAAAATATCGTGGTTTGTCCTCTTTTATCAACTGCTTGTTTTAAATCTTTTAGGCTGGGCACGGTGGCTCATGCCTATAATCCCAGTACTTTGGAAGGCCGAGGTGGGCAGATCACTTGAGATCAGGAGTTCAAGATCAGCCTGGGAAACATAGCAAAAGCCTATCTCTACTAAAACAAAAAATTAGCTATGTGTGGTGGTGTGTGTCTGTGGTCCCAGCTACTCAGGAGGCTGAGATGAGGCAGGAGGATCAGTTGAGCTTGGGAGACAGAAATTTGCAGGGAGCTGAGATCATGCCACTCTATTCGTGTCTGGGTGACAGAGCAAGACTTCGTCTCAAAAATAGAAAAGTGATTCCACAGAATCCAATGCTGCCTTATCATAACATTTATGTAATTGTTGACTTATTCTGTTTATTTTCTTTTTATTTTTTTAAACAGAATCTCAGCCGGGTGCAGTGGCTCACACTTGTAATCCCAGCACTTTGGGAGGCCGAGGTGGGTGGATCACGAGCTCAGGAGTTCGAGACCAACCTGGCCAAGACAGTGAAGCCCCATCTCTACTAAAAATAGCTGGGGGTGGTGGCGCACGCAGTTGCAGTGAGCTGAGATCGTTCCATGGCATTCCAGCCTGGCAACAGAGCTAGACTCCATCTCAAAAAAAGAGAAGAATCTCACAGAATCTCACTCTGTTGCCCAGGCTGGAGTACAGTGGTGTGATCCTGCCTCACTACAACCTCCACCTCCTGGGTTCAAGTGATTCTCCTTCCTTAGCCTCCCAAGTGGCTAGGAATACAGATACCACCACGCCCAGATAATTTTTGTATTTTTAGTAGAGACAGGGTTTTGCCATTTTGGCCAGGCTGGTCTTGAACTCCTGACCTCAAGTGATCCTCCTGCTGTGGCCTCTTAAAGTACTGGAATTACAGGTGTGAGCCACCACATCCAGCCCTATTATCTCTTTCTAAATACTAATCTCTGCACCTGGAACATAGTAAGTATAAAATAAATATCTGTTCAGTAAATAAGTGAATATTGAATGAGCTGGTCCACAAGACAGATGTAACTGAGCTTCAGTTAGGCTAATCCTAGTGCTTGTTATCTCATTGCTTTTTTAAATTTAGGGAGATTTTGTATCTCTTTAGGAGGATTCTGACCCCAAAGTAATGTGCTGTATAGTATTTTATCAAAGACACTACTGGCCAAGCATGGTGGCTCACACCTGTAATCCCAGCACTTCGGGAGGCTGAGGTTGGTGGATCACAAGGTCAGGAGATCAAGACCATCCTGGCCAACATAGTGAAACCCCATCTCTACTTAAAATACAAAAATTAGCTGGGTGCGGTGGCAGGTGCCTATAATCCCAGCTACTCAGGAGGCTGAGGCAGGAAAATCACTTGAACCTAGGAGGTGGAGGTTGCAGTGAGCCAAGATCATGCCACTGAACTCCAGCCTAGCAACAGAGTGAGACTCCATCTAAAAAAAAAATTAAAAAGACACTACTAACTGAGAAAGCAAGCATAAGCACAAAACCAAATTCCATACCCCCTCAAAAAACAAAATTCAAAACAAGGTAAAATCCTGATGCAGCTACATCTGCATAAAGATACTTTAAGATAATGGACCTAGCTAATACACAGTTGCTCTTTTTTTCCAGGGTTAAAACTTCCCTTCCTGAACTGCCCACTAAGCTCAGCATTCATCTGAATGGCCTTTCTAAAAGCCCTAGACATCTGAAAACCAACAGATTTTCATGTGGCCAGAGGCCAATGAAAAGAGCTAGGATTAAAATTCTAGGAAGGTGGAACCCCTCTCCCACCACCAGGATGCTGTCAGGCTTCTTCCTCAGTCTCCATCAGTAGAAGTGGCATCCTGGTCTATAACCAAAAGTTAGGTACAAAAGTAGTGCCTTCCAGCAGCTGCCTTGCCCAGCTTCAGCTATCACAGGGGCTCCTGGATATGGATCCATTTTTTATGGGAGTGGAGAGGACACTTAGAGAACCAACGTGTGTGTTGAGCATGACAGAGAGAACAGCAACACTTTGCCCAACTGCCACAGGTCTGGTCCACCCCAAGCAACATACTCTGAAGGAGTGGAACAATTCTATGGCACGGAGCACATCAAACTTCCTGGCCATGAGAAACTTGACAGCCACATTCCAAGACAGTGGGGAGACATTGTACTGAGCTGTCCACTTGTTAATCTCTTCGAGAAACTGCTTGGTAGCCTGTTTGACAAAGAAAGAAAGAGCAATCAGTAAGAAGAGGACATATTTATGGAGTCAAAAAACAAACAAGGAAGTAAAAACTATCATTCCTCCCCCCAAGGAAGTCTGAACACAATTTACTACAGGGAGCAGGTAAAGACAAAATATATATAGAAAAGTAGCCAAATGGCCAGGTGCAGTGGCTCACGCCTGTAATCCCAGCACTTTGGGAGGCCAAAGTGGGAGGATCACTTGAGGTCAGGAGTTCGAGACTAGCCTGACCAAAGAGGTGAAACTGAATCTCTACTAAAAATACAAAACTAGCCCAAGGTCATGGCACATGCCAGTAATCTCAGCTGCTTGGGAGGCTGAGGCAGGAGAATGGCTTGTAACCAAGAGGCAGAGGTTGCCGTGAGCCGAAATCATCTCACTTCACTGCAGCCTGGGCAACAAGAGTGAAACTGTCTCAAAAAAAAAAAAAAAGGAAAAAAAGAAAAGCGGCCGGGCCTTCCGAAGGATTACTGCCTGATGCACAGTGTGGTACAGCAGTCTCAGCTGCTGCTTTGGTCCCACAAGCCAACTGGACACAGTAAAAGAATCAGAAAATGGTTTTGCCTTTGGAATTTGAGAGTAGCAAAACTATTAAGAATTTAACAAATCAAAAGAGCAAATATTCTTTGTGCTGACTGACCCCACTGAACAAAAGATGAGTCACAGCTTAGAAAATATTTCAACTCCAGGTCAGTGGTTTGAATCTGTCTGTGCTTATGAAACACACGTTGTTAACACCTGGCAGCTAAGGAAGAGCTGGAGTTCAAACAGCTCTGGTCTTCCTTTGGGATAAGGTCTGAACTGATATATGGAGAAACTAACATTACCACTTACAACCCTCCTTAACCAGCTTTTCAGGTAAGGGTAAGATTTGTTTTGTTTTGCTTTTTTGAGACAGGGTCTCGCTCTGTCATTGAGGATGGAATGCATTGGTGGGATCACTGCTCACTACAGCCTGGACCTCCTGGGCTCAATTGATCCTCCTGCCTCAGCCTCCCAAGTAGCAGAGACTACACAAATGCATCACCATGCCTGGCTAACTTTTGCACTTTTTAGTAGAGATGGGATTTCTCCATGTAGCCCAGGCTGGTCTTGAACTCCTGGGCTCAAGCAATCCACCTGCCTCAGCCTCCCAAAGTGCTGGGATTACAGGTGTGAGCCATTGCGCCTGGCCTCAAGGGTAAGATTTGTTCCTGCATAGTCAAAAAGCATATTATAATTACATACTTATCCCACAATCATGTTTAAATAAAGAAAAACAAGACTTGACTATGGCCATGAAGATAAAGATACTAGAGAACTTGCTATGAAACACCTGAGAAGGTTGTCAATTAAGCAGGGTATGCTCTGGACACCATTCACTAGTGTTGAAATAATGGTATCAGAGAGAATAAAACCAGCAACACAGACTCCATGTTACATCAAACTCCCAAGAGCAGCTATACTTTTGAGATGAGCTTTGGGCAAGGAGCTAGCCACTCAAGAGATCAAGAATAATGTGCTGACACTCTCAGTTCCACAGGTAGCACCTTAAATCCTGTGTCCCAAGACAACCTAGGAGAGAGTAAAAAGCCAGACCTATAAGCTACACCTGCTCTTAAAATAAACAAAAAACTTCTGTCTCCGGAGATGTCAGTCACCTAACCCCAAAGGAGAAAGTTTAGTGTGGTTTGGGATTTATAATTTGATGTTACAATGGTGCAAAAGTGGTAAGCGTTTAGCAGAAACTGTATTTTGAATACCCAAACAACTATTTCATTTTTTGCTTTCGGTATTTGGTAAACTACATGAGATACTCAACACTTTATTATAAAATCAGCTTTGTGCTAAATTGCCTTGCCTAATTCTAGGCTAATGTAAGTGCTCTGAAATGTAAGTGCTCTGAGCATTTTAAGGCTCAGATATGAGCTGAAAATCATAGCTCATATGATGAGCTATGCTCAGTAGGTTAAGTGTATTAAGTGCATTTTCAACTTTTACTGGATTTATTGGTACATAACCCAACAATTAGCCAAAAAGCACCTAGGCCGTCTTCAGTTCTCAGTGCTAAACTTATAAGAGTCACTGGCAAACTAGATATGGTCCCACAAAATATTTAGACAAGGTCACTGAGTCATGCTGACCATAACAGAAGGAAAGCCTCTAGCTAAGAGAACAAACATATAGTAAAAATAGAACACAAATTGGAAAGATCAAAACTGGATGGAGCAATGGGCTAGAATGGTACTCAGAAGCCACACAGACTTTGGAGTCAGACAGCCAAGGGTATGTACACCAGCTGTTACCACTCACTGTTCAGAATCCAGGTAAGTGACTTAACTTCTTTGAACCTTAGTTTTGACATCTATAAAATGGGGGTAATACTACATAAAATCACAAGAGGGGAGAAGAGGTAATATTTGTAAACTTCTTAGGACATAAGCCTCAACAAATTGTAGCACACATTAAATCTAACAAAATGAAATTTAAGGATAAGTGCAAGTAAATCAATTTTAGAAGCACCAGATGAAACTTAACAGGAGTGCGGAAGAAAGAAATGAGAAATCTTAGTTGGCTTCAATCTATGAGTCAAAACTTGCTAAGACTGCCAAAAATTATCATGAATTTGGAGCCCATTACAGAAGCACAATGTTCAAAACAAAGAGTCCTATCAGACTTCATTCTTGATACTATCTTTAGTCCCGAGTGCTAAACTTTAAGAGGTCACTGGCAAATTAGAATCAATCCAGGACAGATGAGAATGGTTAGTAGCTCTGAAAACATAGTAACTAGCCTCTTTCTTCCTGGCTCTGTTCCCTCCACTCCATCCAAACAAAGCTCCCTGATAACTGCTTCCATCTCTATTCCCCAGTAACACGTTCATGTTCACATATCCCCCACAACATATTCACATCCCTCACACTCAATTTTGCCTCAGTCTCAAAGCCCCAAATGAATCTGACAGAAGTGACTTGTTCACTTCTAGTCCACAATTCTAGGATGTGGCATGTCAGCCTTGCTGCTAATCTGGCCCTGGCCTGCAGATTAGACTCGATGCTAATCTGTACCAAATCTAACTGGCCCGCAAGTTCTTCCTAAAGCTGATACCCAACCCTGTGCCCTAGGTAACTGAATCAATCCTGAGTGTGAGTCACATACTCAAGAAACCAGGACTCTTCCTGAATGTCTCCTTGACCCACACCTCCATTACTCCCTTAAGGGGATGCAGCTGGTCAGGAATATACAATTAGGCAACGTCAGTCATCTCAGACATTGTAAACCTGCCAAACCAATGCTTCTTTTATGTTTTATGTTTTAAAGACAGAGTCTCACTCTGTTGCCCAGCCTGGAGTATTGCAGTAACAAAATCATGGCTCACTGCATCCTCGACCTTCCAGGCTCAAATGATCCTCCCACCTCAGCCTCCCAAGTAGCAGGGACTACAGGAGCATGCCAGCATGCCTGGCTAATTAAAAAAAAATTTTTTTTGAAATGGAGTTTTGCTCTTTTGCCCAGGCTGGAGTGCAATGGCACCATCTCACCTCACCACAACCTTCGCCTCCTGGGTTCAAGTGACTCTCCTGCCTCAGCCTCTCAAGTAGCTGTGATTATAGGCATGCACCACCACAGCCAGCTAATTTTGTATTTTTAGTAGAGACAGGGTTTTTCCGTGTTGGTCAGGCTGGCTTGAACTCTCAACCTCAGGTGATCCCCCACCTCGGCCTCCCAAAGTGCTGGGATTACAGGCATGAGCCACCGTGCCCGACCTTTATAATTTCTTTGTGTTGCCCAGGCTGGTCTCAAACTCCTAGGTTCAAGTGATCTTCTTGCTTTAACCTCCAAAAGTGCTGGGATTACATGTGTGAGTCACCATGCCCGGCCTAGATCAATACTTTAAAATCCAAAAAGGCCCTCAGATAAACTCAGGAAAAAAACTTATATCGTCTAATGGTACCTATATTGTAAAATGGTACAAGATGAGGAGCTTATTGTACCTAAGAGACTATTTGCAAACCTACAAAGGATGAAGTCTTAAACAGCTGCCTGTCATCTGGACGTCCTCACTGCAGTGTCCAGTTCTAATTCCAGCCACCGTGCCCAGCCAGTGAAAATTTGCATGTTTAACAAGCTCCCAAATGATGCTGATGTTGGTGGTCAGGGAAACACACTCTAAGAACCACTGCTCCAGCCAGGTGCAGTAGCCCACACCCATAATCCTAGCACTTCGGGAGGCCAAGGCAGGAGGATCCCTTGAGTCCAGGAAATGGAGGTGGCAGTGAGCTATGACTGCACCACTTCATTCCAGCCTGGGTGACAAAGTAAAACCCTATCTGAAAAAAAGAAAAAAAAAAAAAGCCACTACTCTAGAGTGACTCAATTTTTTTTTTGAGACAAGGTCTCATTCTGCCACCCAGGCTGGAGTGCAGTGGAATGTTCGTGGCTCACTACAGCCTCCACCTCCTGGGCTCAGGTAATTCTCCCACTTCAGCCTCCAGAGTAGCTGGGACTACAGACATGTGCCACCACGCTTGGCTAGTTTTTGCATTTTTTGTAGAGATAGGGTTTCACCATGTTTCCCAGGCTGGTCTCAAACTCCTGAGCTCAAGTGATCCACCTGTTTCAGCCTCTCAAAGTACTGGGATTGAGGTGTGAGCCACAGCACCTGGCCTCACTTTTTAAAAATTGTGGTACAATATACCTAACAATATTTATCATTTTTACTATTCCTAAATATGCAATTCAGTTGCATTAAATAAATTAACATTGTTGTGTAACTAGTGCCACTCTCTATAACCCAAAACAGTTTCATCATACCCAGCAAATACTCTGTACCCATTAAATAATAACTCCCCCTTCCCAACATTCTCCAGCCTCTGGCGTTCTACTTTCTGTCCCTATGAATTTACCTCATGCAAGTGGAATCATACATCAGCTGCCCTCCTGTGTCTGGCTTATTTCATGAAGCAGAATGTTTCCAAGGTCCATCATAGTAGAGCAAATATCAAGACTGCCTTCGCTTTAAGGCCGAATAATATTCCATTATATGTATATGCACCGTCTTGTTCATCCGTTCATCTACTGCTGGACACTTGGGTTGCTTCCACCTTTGGGTATTGAGAAGAGTGCTGCTGACCAGGCATGGTGGCTCACGCCTGTAATCCCAGCACTTTGGGAGGTCAAGGTGGGCACATCACTTGAGGTCAGGAGTTTGAGACCAGCCTGGCCAACATGGTAAAACCCTGTCTGCACTAAAATTACAAAAATTAGCCTGGTGTAGTAGTGCATGCCTGTAGTCCCAGCTACTTGGGAGGCTGTGACAGGAGAATCACTTGAACCCAGGAGGCAGAGGTCGCAGTGAGCTGAGATCACGTCATTGCACTGCAGCCTGGGCAACGGAGTGGTACTCTGTCTCCCCCCAAAAAAAAGAAAAGAGAGAGAGAGAGACAGAATAGTGCTGCTATGAACATGAGTGTACAGGTATCTCTTTCAGGCGCTGTTTCAATTCTTTTAAATATATACTTAGGAGTGAAATTTCCAGGTAATACGGTAGTTCTGTGTTTAATCTTTTGAGACACTGCTAAACTGTTTTCCACAGCGGCTGCACCATTTTACATTCCTAACAGCAACGCCAACACTTGCTGTCCATTTGGTTTGGTTTTGCTTCTAACCATCCTAGTAGGTAGCACTGAGCCGTTATTATCATCACAAGTTTTGATGTGGGCTTTTGCCAATACTTGTAGCATTGTAAGGGCAGCATGACAGCAGAGAGAGGTTCTGACCACTTTCCAGCTTCACATGCTCCTAATAGTTCCATTCAAAACACAAGTTTTCACAGTTGCTTCTAATTTTTTTGAAAATTACCTCCGAGGCTAGCATTTACTGAGCTTCATGTCGACTAAGAAAATGGGCTGGGCATAGTGGCTCACACTTGTAATCCTAGCACTTTGGGAGGCCAAGGTGGGTGGATCACCTGAGATCAGGAGTTCGTAGACCAGCCTGGTCAACATGGTAAAACCCCATATCTACTAAAAATTTTTAAATTATCCTGGCAGTGGGGCTCATGTCTATAATTCCAGCTACTTGGGAGGCTGAGGCAGGAGAATTGCTTAAACCCAGGAGGCGGAATTTGCAGTGAGCTGAGATTACAGCACTGTACTCCAGCCTGGGCAACAAGAGCAAGACTCCATTTCCAAAAAAAAAAAAAAAAAAAAATTACTTAAAAACAAACTTGTTTTGGAAATTTTCTTCCTCAACTTTCTTATACTTGACACAAGTTGAAAAAAAAGCTTAAAAACAGAAAACAAACAAACAAAAAAAACAGGCAAAGTGAAAGTACCATCGAAAAACAGTTTCCTAAAGCTGTTGCCTTGTCCCAGATATTTCACATGCTTTCCCACTATACTCACTGTGGTACTTAAGAGATTAAACTGTACATATATAAGACTATGGCTCCAGCTGGAGTGCAGTGGCGTGACCAAAGCTCATTGCCGCCTCAAACACCTGGGCTCAGGTGATCTTCCTATATCAGCCTCCCAAGTAGCTGGAACAACAGGTACATGCCACCAAGCCCGGGTAATGTATTTTCATTATTATTACTTCTGTAGAGGTGGGGTCTTGCTATGTTGCCCAGGTTGGTCTCAAACTCCTGGCCTCAAATGATCCTCCTGCCTTGGCCTCCCACAGTGCTGGGATTACAGGCATGAGCCACTGAGCCTGGCAAAGATGGGTTTTCATAAAGGCCAAGAGCAGAGCTTCTATTCTGAGAGGTACAGCCAGAGGCTTATATAAACCCCCCAACTGCATTAACCTCATTAACTCATATAATTTCCATCATATGGAAATGTTTAGATCCCACTTATTAGTGATAAAGTGTGGCATTTGTTCTTTTTCTTCTTCTTCTTCTTTTTTTTGAGACAGAGTCTCGCTCTTTTGCCCAGGCTGAAGTGCAGTGATGTGTGATCTTGGCTCACTGCAATATCTGCTTCCCAGGTTCAAGCAATTCTCCTGCCTCAGCCTCCCAAGTGGCTGGGATTATAGGCACCTGCCACTATGCCTGGCTAATTTTGGTAGTTTTAGTTGAGACAGGGTTCACCATGTTGGCCAGGCTGGTCTCAAACTCCTGACCTCAAGAAATCCACCTGCCTCAGCCTTCCAAAGTGCTGGGATAACAGGTGTAAGCCAGCACACCTGGCTGCCTCAGCATCTCAAAGTGTTGAAATTAGAGGCTTACACTACCACGCCTGGCCAAAAATAGTAATTTTTAAAAAGAGAAACATTTGAGAGGGAGAAATTAAAATGAAACCACATTATGATGCCATGGCAAGGCTCAACAGTGTTCTGCCTATAAAATTCCTTTGTCCAGTGCAGCGGCTCACACTTGGAATTCTAACGCTCTGGAGGGCAAGGTGGGAGGATCCCTTGAGCCAAGGAATTCGAGACCAGCCTGGGCAACACAACAAGACCCTGTCTCTATTAAAAATAAATACAGGAGCGTGCGGAGCCGGCCCCGCCGTGGGGCAGCGCGGGAACAACGCTGGTGGACACGGGGACCGGAGCCTCGACGGCTGAGTAGGGCTGCATGCCTCCTGCCAAGCCCGCCCCCTCGACCAGCAACCAGGGGCTGCCCCGCGCCTTCCTGCAGAGCCAGCGCACCCTATTCTACATCCTGGACGACCGGCGGCGCGGCTGCTGCACTTGCGCGAGATCGAGTCCCGCTGGCAGGGTGCCGACGCGCGAGCTGCCCCGCCGGGTGCTCCAGGGTCTGTGCCAGGTGGCCCTGGCCAGCAGCGAATTGATCTTCCAGCGCTTCGTGGCCGGCCTGTGCACCTCGCTGCTGAGGCTGACGACGGCCCCGGGCCCCAAGCGCGCCACGGCCCCCCAGGAGACCAGTCGCCGCTGCAGCTCCTGGTGTCGGTGCCCCCCTACTAGCCGCGACCTGTACTGGAGAGGAAGCCGCTGCCCCTGGGCGTGCTCGTTCTCCGGCCGGTCCCAGCAGCACGGGCCCTCAGCCCAGAGCAGCTGTGCCCCCGGTCCAGGAGGCGCCCTGCCCCGCGGAGACCTAGTAGCCCCACAGCGAGGCGCGGGAACGGAGCCCGAGTGCGGACGCAGGTACAGAGGCCTGCAGGCCCTGGAGGCTGACTCAGGGGATGCCCGGCGGCCCCATGCCCGAGGGGAACGTCGGAGGCTCACCATCACCGGCGGCGTGGGCTGCGGCCTGCCGATGCAGGTGAAGGAGCTGGAGCAGGAGGAGGTGCTGCTGCAGGGTTTGGAGATGATGGCGCGGGGCGGCGACTGGTACTAGCAGCAGCAGCAGCAGGAGTGCCGGAGCGCCAGCGCCGCCTGGGCCAAGCAGAGCCCGCGCCGACTTTGGGGCCGCGGGGAGCCCCCGCCCACTGCGGCGGGCCCGGGGCCTGGGGGAGCTGCTGGCTGTGGCCTGTGCCAGCCGGGCCCTGCCCATTCCTCCTCCGGGCCCCCTTGCCCTGCCCTGACGTCCACCTCGCCCCGGGCTGGCAGCAGCAGACCATCCTCATGCCGAAGGAGCAGAACCGACTCCTCACCCAAGAGGTGGCCGAGAAGAGTGAGCGCATCACGCTGCTGGAGCAGGAGGAGTCACGCTCATTAAGCAGCTGTTAAGGCCCGTGCCCTGAGCCAGCAGGACGGGGACCTCTGGACTCCACCTTCATCTAGCCGGTGTGAAGCCCAGCGAGACCCCAGGGCCGGCCTGGCACTCAGCCCTTCGAGAGCAGGCGCCCCGTCGCACTCATCCTCTCTGTCTGGAGACCCCCGTCAGGCCCAGGCACAGTCCCTGAGTGGGCGCCTTCCTGCCCCCCTTGCCATCCGGCTCCCCAGGCCTGCCCCAGGCTGACCTAGCGCTGAGCCCTGGACTCGGTTTTGGCCCCTGGTGCTGACATGGGCTGGGGCTCACTTGAGTCAGCATGGCCTGCAGCTGCTGCTGCCGCTGTCAGTGGACACGGGGGAATCCCTCTACGAGTTAGCAGATCTCTGGCTTCCCCAGCGGTTTCCAGCGGCTTCCAGCGGTGCCGCCCTGGGTCGCTTCTCCAGGGAAAGGCGCTGCTCACGCCAGGCTGCACCTGCGACAATGGCCAGCAGAGGGCGCCGCGCGGCTGCGATGCGGGTCCAAGGCCAGTTTTCCCGCTTCCCAGGACACCAGGACAGGGTGGCTGTCGCTTGGATGGGAGCAGATGGAGGGGGTGGGGATGGCCTCTAAGCAGGGTATGCTAGCCTGGCCGGGATGGCGGTCGGATTTCCGGTCCCGGCCAAGGCTTAGGGAGTCTCGCTGCAGCAGATCGGGGAGCTTGGCCTGCATGTGCCTCCCGCAGAACCCCCCACCCTGTCCTGGCCTTCCTCATCCTGGCCAGGACGCTGCCCCACGTTGAGTCCCACACAATAACCTGTGAGCCTGTCTCCCCAGGAGGGCCTGTCCCCAGGAAGGGGGTCACTCTGCGCCCCGAGACAGCTCCCAGGCACGTCTTAGGCAGAGCCTGTTGCCCCCCCTCCCCCACACCATTCAGGATTCCTAAGGTCTGGGGTCCTGCTCACCCCTCTTTTTTCCCCACGCCCAGCCTGACCCCAGGTTTCAGGAGAAGCCACTTCCCTGAGCCAAGGACAATGAGAACCCCCAGGGTAGAGGAGGAGGCTGGGGCAGGTCCCCCTGGGTGTCACTCCCTCTCTCCCACCCAGGCCCACTCTTGGTATGCTGGGGTAGGTACTGGTGGGGGGCCCCTGCCCAGCCTGGCCTGGAGGTACTGAGTGCCACCAGAGCCAACAACACAGATGGGTTCTGCAGTCCAGGGCCCCTGACGCGGGGTCTGTGTGTGTGGGGTGAAGTGACCCCATGCAGGGTCAGTGTGTGGGCCCCAGGGACCCCAATGTGGGGTCAGCGTGTGGGGGCTCAGGGACCCCAATGTGGGGTCAGTGTGTGGAGGGTGCAGGGACCCCAATGTGGGGTCAGTGTGTGGAGGGTGCAGGGACCCCAATGTGGGGTCAGTGTGTGGAGGGTGCAGGGACCCCTCATGCCCAGGGAACTTTGGAGCACTGTCCCACAAGGCACCCCTGTCTCAGAGGAGGGGTCCTGGTGGGCAGTGGTCAATTCCTTTCCACAATCCAGCTCCACACTCACCTGCCCACTGCAACCCCACAGAGCCACGTCCCCACCTGCACCCAGTCTGCAGGGGTGTCCCAGGACAGACTCAAGCCAGTCTGGCATGCAGCTGCCCTCCTCCTCTGAGGATAGGAGTGGGCTCTCCAGGGGACATAAAGACTCCAGGACTGGACCTCCAGGCAGGAAAGGAAGCGGGTCCTGAAGGCCTGTGCCCCACAGCCTCAGTACCAGGTGGTCTGCAGCGTAGTGGGTGGGCCAGTGGCAGCCAAGGAGAACCTCTCCCCCACCCTGTTAGGAGGCTGGGGTCTGCCCACCAGCGCTGCCCCATGTCTGCCTCTGAGGGTGCCTGCCATGCCCAGAGCATGGGGTTTCCTGGCAACTTTACAGGACTGGAAGCAGGAGACAGAACAGTGTCTGTCCCAGGGTGACCTCATCAGGAGACCGCCCATGCAGAGCTGGACCCCGCAGCTAAAGCAGAACTGTGAGACAGGCTGGGATCTCTGGAAAAACTGCCTCTCAGCCTTGGGGTTCCATGAAAGGTGAAAAAAAATAGATCCTCCAAGTTTACAGCTTGAAATCAGGCTACAGTGTGGCCCTGGAGACCACGAGGGGAGAAGGTAGAGTGGTCCCCGGTGGCAGGGTCTATCTAGGTGGCTGGCGGAGGCACAGGCAGACCCTGCCTGGAGCCCGCCCTGGTGACGCTGGTGGATCAGTCTCTTTGCAGGATGTGAGCAGCATCCCTGGTCTCAATCCACGAGGTGTCCACAGCGTGTACAGGGACATACATGTGCGTGCACACACAGCTGTGACACCCAGAAATGTCTCAGGACATTGAAATGTGTCCTTGGGGGCTGAAGTGTGCCTGGTTGAGAATCTGCCCCAGGGGAACACACCCACCAGGCCTCAGGATTTTGTGTTAAGTTCCAAGGAAAAGGAACATCTCGACTGGGCATGGTAGCTCATGCCTGGAATCCTGGTACTTGAGGCCAGGAGTTCGAGACCAGCCTGGGCAATGTAGGGAGAGACCCCCATCTCTAAAAAAAAGAAAAAGAAAAGAGAAAGAAAAAAGAAAATGAGTCCTCCAGTTTAAAAAAAACTCATAAACACCACAAGGAAACAATACACTCTGAGACCAAGCAGAAACAACAGATAGACTCTGTAGACACAGATACTGGAATTATCAGAGAGAACATAAAGTAGCAATGCTTTATATATATACAGAAACAGAGATTTCTGAAAATATGAAAAAAATACATAGGCTGGTCGCGGTGGCACATGCCTGTAATCCCAACACTTTGGGAGGCTAAGGTGGGCGGATCACGAGGTCAGGAGATCAAGACCATCCTGGCTAACACAGTGAAACCCTATCTCTACTAAAAATACAAAACATTAGCCAGGTATGCTGGCACGTGCCTGTAGTCCCAGCTACTCGGGAGGCTGAGGCAGGAGAATCACTTGAACCTCGGAGGTGAAGGTTGCAGTGAGCCAACATTGCATCACTGCACTCCAGCCTGGGCGGCAGAGAGAGACTCCATCTCAAAAAAAGTGGGGGGGGGGGGGCTAGATTTGCAATAATATTAAAAACTGAGATCTCAGCATTTAATAGTGTAATCTTAAACGTGTAAAGAACACACAGTACTTTTCACAAAATGTTATCTTCAGTATAAAAGAAATCGATGGGGCGGTGTGCAGTGGCTCACACCTGTAATCCCAGCACTTTAGGAGGCCGAGGCAGGCAGATCACCTGAGGTCAGGAGTTCAAGAAACATATGGGCTGGGTAGAGTGCTTCATGCCTAATAATCTCAGCACTTTGGGAAGCTAAGGCAGAAGGATAGCTTCAGCTCAGGAATTTCAGATCAGCCTGGGCAATATACCAAGGTCCTATCTCTACTTATGGAAAAAAAAATAGCTGGATGTGATGGCACGTGCCTGTGGTCCCAGCTGCTCAGGAGGCTTTAGTGGGAGAATTGCTTGAGCCTGGGAGGTCAAGGCTGCAGTGAGCCATGACTGCCACCAGGTTCCAGCCTCAGCAACAGAAACATGATCATTGCACATCATCTAAATCACCCATGGTTTTTTTTTCCTCATCTGGAAGCAGGGACACTGTCCCCCAACACACGCACTTCCCGAGGTTGTCAAGAGACCACGTAAATGTTTGGTAAACTGGGAAGCCCCAGCAGAGATGCTGGAGCCAGGTTATTACCGCCCTGCTGTTTGCCATTATCTTCCAGGCCTGTGTCTCTCTGCCCAGCTAGCCTGGGTCGCCTGCTCCTGCCCCCAACTGGATGGGGTGGGATTACAGCCTTGGCTAGCTACAAACCCCATAACCTGAGATAGCAGGGCCCAGGCATAGATGGCCTAGGGCATGGCTTTGCCCATTTTGAGTGTCTGAGACACCCAGTGGGGCCACCCCAATGCTGGCCAGGCTTTATTTGCCAGACAAGTTTGGGGTGACCATGTTGGGGCCCAAAGGGACCCAGTGACAGTGAGAAGTGGGTCCTGCAGCCTCAGATGCCCTGGGCCAGGAACGAGGAGTGCTACAAGGTGGGAAACAAGGAAGGAGCCACCCTGTCCTCCCTGTGAGGAGCCCCACACACCCCTCCAGCTGCTCCCCAGCTCTGCCCCTTCTCCCCTCCCCTTGCTCCCCTGTGGACCCATCTGTCTATCTGCCACCTCCCCTCCTCCTTCTGCCCTTCTCTCCCTGCTCCTGTTGGTGACAGGCAGGACCCCCCACTCACCACCCACTCAGCCTCCTAGAGGCAGAGCTGGTGCCCCTCAGATACCCTGTCCCCCGGCGGGGGCTTGTCCTACAGACAGCCCTGGACCACCCCCGCCACACCTCCTCGTCCTAGCACAGATGCCTGGCAACAAGGGAAGTTCATCAATTGGTAAGTTAGCCACGGGCAGGGCAGGGAACAGTCAGGCTGAGGCCTGAACTCAGAGTCCTCAGCGCTGTGAGGATTTGCAGGCTCCTTCCCTGGTCTCTGTCTCCCCCACAGTCTGCAGATCAGCTTTGTGCTCTCACAGCAGCTTCCTTCACAGGGTTGGAATCAGGCTGTTGGCAGCGCGAGGCTTCCATCTTCCTGGCTTCGGCCCCAAGAAAGGATGGAGCTCCCCTCCATTAGTTCCTATTCAGAAAATTCCAGAAGCAAGTTTCTGCTTGGTTTGGTTTGGTCTGGGCTGGCTGGGTAGCTGGCACACTAAAATGGCCAGGCCCTCTAGTGTCACGTGGTTGCAGTAGGATGGGGAGATGTATTTGTCAGCTCATGGTGCCACGCCAAAGTACCATAGCCTGGGTGCCTCAGACCACAAACACTTATTTCTCACAGTTCTGGAGGCTGGGAAATCCAAGATCAACGTGCCCACAAGGTTGGTTTCATTGTGAGGCCTCTTCTCTTGGCCCATACGTGGCTGCCATATTGTGTGCTCAGGTGACCTCTTCTTTGTATTTGTGCGGAGAGAGAGTTCACTCTCTGGTGTCTTGTCTTATAAGGACACGAATCCTACTGAATCAGGGCCCCATCCTTAGGACCTCATTTAACCTTAATGACTTCCTGAGAGGCCTCATCTCCAAATACTGCCACACAGAGGATTAGGCTTCAACATAAGACTTTGGAGGAGAAAGAGACATTCCGTCCATGATGGGAAGAAAAACTATTCATGAAAAAGCGGTGCAGTGGCCAGAAAATGGGACAGACAAAACTACAGATGCCCCCCATTTCCCCCAATACATCACACACACACACACACACACACACACACACACACACACACACACGGCCTGCCTTTGCCCCTTCCCCACAAGGCCACTCCCCACCCCATGATTATTTACCTCCCTCCTACCCTGCTCTCTGGAGCTGCCCCTTCCCCTAGTGCTCCTGTGGCTCACCTAATGCCAGGTGCAGGTAGATGCATGTAAATGTAGCCCGGGGCTGGGGGCCTCCTGGACCATGTGTGTCCTGGGCCCCACATGGGACTGGGCAGGAAGTGGGTCTCACCCATGTCTACTGTCCTCAGGCAGAGCCTGGCCCTGGGACATGAGCTCAGTGGGTGCTGCAGCTTTGTTGAATTCACCTCAGACCCCCACTTCCCCACCATCCACTTATAAGGTTCCCAGGGCCTTGATACCTCTGTCCTTGCAAGAATAGAATGCGATTATGCAGCTCACACGAACCTGCTGGTGGCTTCCTACAGTAAAACGATATAATTTTCTAGTTAAAGAGAGTCTACCAAGCGACTAGCACAGTGAATGAAGACAGACCTACAACAAGGCACAACATTGGGAAACTTCAGAAAAGGACTAAGGATAGAGAGAAAATTCTGAAACCTTCCAGAGAGAAAAGACAGGTCATATACAAAGAAGCAAGACTCAGCATGACACCGACTTCTTCCCAACAACACTGGGAGCTAGAAAATAATAGAGCAACATTTCCCAAGTGAGGAGAAGTTACACTTAAATTAGAGCATTATTTCCAGTCAAACTATTAATCAGGAGTGGGGATAAAACAATGACATGATAAATATGCGAAGGTCAGAAAGCTTGACTTCCATTCACTCTTTTCATCTCTAGTAAACACTATTCTAAGCAAATAGATCTTAAATGTTCTTACCACAATAATAATAAGTATGTGAGGTGATGGAAATCCTAACTTGATTTAATCATTTCCCAATGTATGCATATATCAAAACATCACACTGAACATTGTGTAAATATACACAATATTTACAAAAATACACAATAAAATTGAGTATTTTTATTTATCAATTATACTTTAATACTGTTGGAGGAAGAATTCAATATAATATTAAAACAAAAAACAATTGCAAAACCTAAAGAAAATCATTAGGCTGGGAGTGGTGGCTCACGGCTGTAATCCCAGCACTTTGGGAGGCTGATGTGGGTGGATCACCTGAGGTCAGGAGTTCAAGACCAGTCTGACCAATATGGTAAAACCCTGTCTCTACTAAAAATAGAAAAATCAGCCGGGTGTGGTGGTGTGTGCCTGTAGTCCCAGCTATTTGGAAGGCTGAGACAGGAGAATTGCTTGAACCCAGGAGGTGGGGGTTGCAGTGAGCCAAGATCACCCACTGCACTCCACTCCAGCCTGGCTGAGACTAGATTAATGATTTTTTTTTTTTTTTTTCGGAGACTTGAGTCATTAGTCCAAACCAGCCTTTTACAGATGAGGTCAGTGAAGTACAGAGGGGTGAACTGAGTTGTGTGATCTTAAGCAGCAAGCCATCAGCAGAACTTGACCTGAAATCCAAAGCCAAGCTGTCTTCTATTACCTCGAGGTCCTTCAGTCCAGCCCTCCCGGTCTGCCTTGGGAATCGGTATTGGTGATAAAGGGAATAGAGAGGAACATCCATAGCGCTCTCCATTTAGATTGACATTCACACTGAGCCAGGGCGTCGGCAAGAAACGGTGCAAGTCCCAAGAGTGCTCACCCCAACCCTTTTCCCCTCCCCATCCTCTCTCATAACCAACTTCAGCTAAAAGGTCTGAGAAGAACAGGGAGTGTTAGATGACTCTCATTGGGTGTAAATGACTCCCACCACGATTTCTGTTTTATCAAGATGTATCTCCAATAACAGTTTGTTCCCGCACATAACCTGCAGGTGGCACCAGAGCAGCGCGGGAGCCGAAGGTACCACTCCAGGCTTCCTGGAGACCCGGGCAGGGCGGGGTAGGGCGAGGCAGAGGTGGTGCACACCACTCAGCTGGGCTGCGGATCAGTACACAGCGTTTGCAATGGACACATGGGCCTTCTGGCTAATTTCCTCTCTTTGGTAAGTTGATCACATGCTTTAGCATCCAAATCCAGAAGCTTCAGAGAGTGAAAGGGGCACTATTATAATTGCACTGGGACAGCAGACATAACCTTAGCTGTATCCTGCAAACCAGAACATATGGTCACCCTATCCTCTGGTCACTTTTCCTTCCTTGTTCCATTCTTCCTTTTAATTCTTTTTCTTTTAAAATACACAACATTCCTTTCTCCAAGCACCACCGTCTTTGAAAATGCCCTTGCAATCAGGATATTTTCAACTACGCAACATCTGCTTTCGCTTCTTGAATCTGAACAGACTCTCTGAACCCACCCCAAGTGGGTTTTAGCTTCCAGTCAGAAGACTCTGCTCCCCGGCTTACCATCCCCATGACTCAGGAATTAAAAGTATCAGACGTGGAACACTGACCCTTATCTCAACTGTGGTGCCTCTTTGCTAAATTTATTCCTGTAATTTTGCTCTGAGTGCTCATGTCCTTTATCTCTTTGAATTCATGTATATTAGTTTATCAAATTGCAAGTAGACAAGCCCCATTAGGCAGGATTCTTATATTTCAAGATCATCCCGTTACTCCATTCAACCCCAAATTAGCTGCCATTTATCCCCTTGTTTCTGAACCCTCTTCACTTAATAGTCTCACAAACATCCATCCACTGCAAAAAGGACTCAAACTGTTCTCACTTCCATTTTTAGTTGATTCGTTGCTATCCAAGTAATGATTAGTCTGCGGGAGTCATAGCAGAGAACTGTGCCCTTAAATTTATTTTTATAGTTGGATTCTGCTAGTTGTGGGGATCAAGGGAGACAGTGGCGGCAGGGATGCGGTGTTAACTGCAGGTGCGGCCGTAGGGGAACTTTGCTAACTGCCCATGTGAGTTCAGTCTCTTGCGGTATTTGTCACCCAGGTCTATGGTGAGGTGTGACATACGGGAGGTAAGGTTTGATGCCTGCTCCGACTCCAGTCTCACTGACACGCACGAGACATTTGGCAACTCATGGCCCTGCCTTGGGGAAAAGAGCAGTCTGGGAGAGCTTCTTCAAGGCAGGCTGACTTCACTGTGGTCTGGGGTGTGACTGAGACAGGCTTACCTGGCAAGAAACTGGAGGGTATCTGGGTAAAGAGCTGCAGTGTGGGCAGTGTGGGCAGAGGTGTAGTGTGGGCACTGAGGACAGCTGCTGGCCAAAGCAGGTAACAGAGACAGAATGAGGAAGAGCTCTGTGGGAGGGTGGGCATAGGGTGGAGAACTTTCAAATTCCAAAGAATGTGACTTGTTGAGGCTCAATCCTGTAGGCAGTAGAGAGCCATGGAAGGTTCTTAGGTGGAGAAATTGCTGGAGATTAGTGAGCAAGCCCTGTCTCCATGAGCAGCATGGGTGGTCCACAGGCATGACTGTGCAGGGAGCCGGTGCAAATGCCTCTGTGTGCAGTGAGCTTCTATGTTGTGACACTGCCCACGTGTGTGCTTCAATGAGCCCAGTGGCTGCACACCCCAGATCTGTGCTGCACGTACCTGCCAGTGAGGGTGCCAGGCACTGGGCACTGGTAGGGAAGGAGGCGTGTTAGGGCGCAGTCTCCAAAAGCCCTCTTGTGAATCCACATGTGCTTCTGGAGGAAGGAGCCCTGCACACCGCAGAGAGCATGCGTCGGTAAAAGAAACACTCAACTGGGAATCAGGCGGGCTGGCCAGCGCCACGGCCCCAAATGTCTCTGTCCTCCAAGAGGCCGGATGTGAATCACAGGAATTTGCAGCCCAGCCTGGAGTGGGATTTATGAGTCTGCCTCCAGCCCGGGCTGGTGGGGAGTGGCCGCTGTCAGCCCCCCATTGCCACTGATGGATGAGGCTGTTTCCTGCAAGACAAACTCCTCTCTGTGGCAGGCAGCGAAGGGAGACCCATCCAGGCCCTAGGACCAGCCCCATACCTGTCCCAGAGCTGGATCCCTCGTGCCCTCACAGTCCACGCCTCCCCTCGAGCCCCAGCCCTACACACTGACACACAAGCAGGAGGTGCACCCAAGGGGCCCAACGCCCAGCCAGAGCTCTGCCTCCTACACTGCCATCTGCATCTGCTCTGCATGCCCTTCAAAACCCTTCCATCCCAAGGCCCAAGCCTCGGGACCTGCCCCAAATGGGGCACACTTAAAGCCAGAATGGATCTCTGAGGTAGCCCAGAACACACACACACACACACACACACACACACACACACACTACTCAGATGAGGAACCAGGGTCCAGAGAGGGATGGGCCTGGCCTGAATCACCCACCAGCACAGCAGTGAAGCTGAGACCCCAGCCCACAAGCCCCCTGGACTGGTTATTTCAGTGTCCGGTCACACTGGGCTGTCATACGGCCATGGGGGTAGTTTTCAACTCCAAATGCCAGCGCCTCTCCAGAATACAGACAGACCTGGGTTTGAATCCTTGTCCACCATCTAAAAGTTATAATTTCTCTGTGTCCCTTTCCTCACCTGGAAAATGGGGATCAAAATAACCCCAATTTGCTGAGGTTCTTATGAGGTTCAAGTGAGAGGACGCAGGTAGAGCCGCAGCACAGAGTGTGCCCCTGGCACATACTCCCTGAGTGGTGATGATGGTTCTCCACCATCCCCCGTGCCTGGGGGGGCCCTGCCCCCAATTTGCTGTGGGCAGGACAGTCAAGGTTGGTGGGGGCAGGAGCAACGACAGTTCGAGTGTGGGACTGCAGGGCAGGAGTGAGACCACTTCCTACTGGAGAAGACCCTGGAAGCCTCCCTGGAGGTGGTGGCATCAAGCAGAGGATGCAGAACTCTGTCTCTCTTGCTCTGAAGCTGACTGGGGGCTTTTTGAGTACCGCAGGGCTGAAGGGAAGCACCCTAGCCTGAAAGCCAATCCCGGCCCAGCCCAAGCTTCTGCCCTGGATGACCTTGAGGAGGAGTCCCTCCCTTCTCTGGGCATCCGAAAAATGGGGCCAGAGAGGACCAGACAACACTCCCTCAAGGCGCCTTTCTGCTCAGGGGCTTGCGCAAGCGGAAGAAGGCGGTGCAGACCCACCCTCGGCAGTACCCAATTATTGCCACGGGGCGGCAGCAGGGAGCGAAGCTGCGGTCGGGCCTCCTTTCCCTGCGGCCAGTCCCTCCCCAGCCCCCGGTGGTCTTTGCTCCCCGACCCCCAGCCAGCTCGCCCGAGAGCCAGAGCTGAACGTCCTTCGCATCCAGACATGCGATGCTCCCCGCAGCCCTGCAGGGCGTCAGCATGCTGGCCGCTTTCCAGATGGGGAAAATGATGGCCCAGAGAGGGGAGCACTTGCTCAAGGCCCCGCGGGAGCCAAGTGTGCCCGGCCGAGGCGGTGTGAAAGGAGACGGCGGTCACACGGTCCTGGCTGGGATCCCGGTCCCCTCACCTCCCGCTGTGTGTCCTCGGGCAGGTCACCCACCCTCTCTGAACCTCAGTGGATACGAGTGCTGATCACAGAAGCCACCGCTTTGTTTCCGGTAGAGTTAATGCCCCATGAGAGCGGAGACATGTCTGTCACTCACCTCAGCGCCCCCAGAGCCTGGCGCAGGGTGGGACACAGAGAATAGCGCCTTCCTGGCGATGGGCAGATGCTGTCTGTCCTCAAACCCCGCCCCACAGCAGCCCCGCGTCAGCCCCGCCTTGCTCCCCTCCCGGCAGCCGTTCCTGCAGGACGCCCACCCTCCCCCCGGCCTCGAGGGGCTCCTGCTCCACTCCCCGCGTGTCCTCTGACTCCACCCGAGCCCGCAGGCCCCTGTCTGGGTCCCGGCCGCTCCCTCGCGTCCCTCCCTCCTGCCGAGCCCCCGCTCCGCTCTACACTGTTCACAAGACAACGAGGACGGTTTTTATTTCTCTTTTGTCTCCCTTCCTCCCCTGAAGGGAAACGTGTTTCCAATCTTCCAGGAAAACATGAAGGCTCCGGATGAGAAAAAGCAAACAAAGGCCAGTGGGACCGTGGGCGCCCCCCGCCCCCCACGCAGGCCCCGCACGCGAACCGGCGCCCGCGCCCGTGCTGCCCTCCTCCGCCAGGGCCCGAGAACCGCTCTGTTATTTTGGGGGTAATTGAAAATGTCGACCTTTATTCTAGAGGATAAGCAGGTCACAGGGACACAGGGAGCCAGAGAGCAGAGAAAGGAAAGCCGGGCGGGCGTGGGGGAGGGTCTGGGGGAGAGAGCGGCCGGCGGGGAGCCCGTGGGCGGGAGAGGAAGCGGGAGCGGAGGAACGGGAGGGGCGGGTGACCCTCCGCCAGTGAGCGGGGCCGCGCGGCCTGGACCCCCAGGGCTCAGGGGCATATGTCCTCCCGCCAGCCCCCACCCCACCCGCAAGGAGCCGGTGGCAGGAGCTCTGTTTAGTCTTCCCGAGGTGGGCGTCTCTGAGTGCTGGGAACAGGGGTGGGGCCCCGGCTTGTCTTCGTGGGCGCCGTCTCCCAAGCACGTGCACAGCGCCCAGAGGCCGGGGCCCAGACTGAGGGGCGCTGAGAGCAGCCAGCGGCCACCGCTTCTGCGGGAATGCAGGGACTCCCGTGACCGCCCTCCCGAGGCACATCCTGCCTCTCTCTGCCTGTGGGAGCATCTCAGTGTTTGTAGACTTACTTCTCCAGGGCAGTGGGGGGCGCCAGTGAGCCTGGGTGGGCGCGTGTCAGTGCAGGAGACGAGGAGAAGCCTGGGAGAGAGGGGCAGGCGGGGCGGGAGGAGGCGGGGAGTAAAAGGTGTGGCCGTGCGTGGCGTGGGGCCTGTGCTCATGCGCGGTACAAGCGTGGGTCGCATCTGCGTTTTCCCTGTGACTGTAGCTTGAGGCATGTGTTTGAAGGAGGTGGTACCAGGTGTGTGTGTGTAGAGTAATGTGTGGGTCCGCGCATTTATGTGTGTGTCTCGCGCCACGTGTATGCAGTAAGGGACACATGTGTGCACCCCCTACCTGTGTGCCTCCGTATGATGTGCCCCCGTGTCTCTGCAGGCAGGGTCCCTCTTCTGCTCCTGACCCGGGGTCACCGTCACCCCAGGTCCTGGGAGCAAGAATCGTGATTGGCCTTGGGGTTCCCTCCAGCAACAGCAGAACAGAGACCAGTGCCCACCCCAGCCAGTGTCTCGGAGGCTGGTGGGACTGCGATGTTACCACCAAGCCCTGGCTGAGGTAACCCAACATGGAGTCAGGCCTGTCTTGCCCCCTAGAGAGAAGGGCAGAACCTCAGGGGGGCCTCCTGCCAGGCCTTGAGCCTCGTCCGCCTCCATCTACTGCTCGTGGCAGGAGAGGGCAAATTCCCACCCTCTCGCTCACACAGCCTCCGACCTCTGCTGGAGGCCAGGGTAAAAACCGATTCTCCGTACCCCGGGGCCCAGCCAGGGCCTGGCACAGGGCAGGAGCTTAGCAAATGTTTGTTGAATGAATGGATGGATGGGGGCTTTGTGTGTGATCAGGTGCCAGCTCTGGGGCCTAATGACCTGAAGATACCGATTCAAGTCCTGCAAGGATCAAACCAGGGCTTCCTGCAAGGTCAAGCTAGAACCCCCGGAGTTGTTCAGAAGGGGCTGCGTCAGCATTCAGCCAGACCTGGGAGACCGCTCCTGACCTTGTGCAGGTCACCCCTCTGGGGGCGCTACCACAGGAAAGGCAAGGCCAAGAGCTGGGACCACTTCATCCAAAGGTCGAGCCCAAGCTAATGACCCTGTCATTCTGCAGGCGGAGGCACAAAGGAGGCCCCGTTCATCTTCCCTGGAGTTGGCATCCCTTTGTTGGCGGGGCCATCTTCATCCCCCAAATGTTCCTTCTGAACCCTCCATCCTCCTTCTCCCCTTCCCTTGGTACCATAAACCAACCCCAAGAGTGAGTCTCAGCTTTATGGCTCGGTTTCAGTCCTGCCCCTGTCTGGTGGCAGCTGGGGCCAGGCTGAAGGTCTGTCCTAGACTGAGACATAAAGGCAAAAATAGGGTTTAGTCCTAATAGAAGTAAAGCACTGGCCGGGCGCGGTGGCTCACTCCTGTAATCCCAGCACTTTGGGAGGCCGAGCCAGGCAGATCACAACATCAAGAGATCGAGACCATCCTGGCCAACATGGTGAAACCCCATCTCTACTAAAAATACAAAAATTAGCTGGGCCACCTGTGTCCTAGCTACTCAGGAAGCTGAGGCAGGAGAATCACTTGAACCTGGGAGGTTGCAGTGAGCTGAGGTCACACCACTGCACTTTAGCCTGGTGACAGAGTGACTCTATCTCAAAAAAAAAAAAAAAAAAAAAAAAGAAGTAAAACACCTCACCCCAGACAAGTTCTGACCCTGGTCACCCACTGAGCCCTGGTCCTGGTCACACACAGAACCTAAACCTGTATTTAGAGATGGGTCATTAATTTGTCACATGGGATGGGCATGGTGGCTCAATCATGTAATCCTACTTTGGGAGGCCAGGGCAGGAGGATCACCTGAGGCCATGAGTTCGAGACCAGCCAGAGCAACATAGCAAGATGTCTCTACAAAAAATGTAAAATTTAATCAGGCTTGGTGGCGTGTGCCTGTAGTCCCAGCTACTACAGTGAGCCAAGATTGTGCCACTGCACATCAGCCTGGGCAACAGAGCAAAATCCTGTCTCAAAAAAGAGATTGTCATGTGGCCACAGTTATTTCCAGGCTCTGGGACTCAGCCTCCTCATCTTTCCAACGGAGGGCCTGCACCTGGGCTAGGTGTTAAGTCAGAAAAGCCCTATTCAGAGATTGGCCTGCAGTTCCCTGACCTGGTCATGCTGGGGCATTGGCTGCTGCCACCTGCTCCCACCCCCACCCAACACCGACAGCCCAGGCATCACTAATTTTTGCAGCTGCCGTGATAAATGGCACTGTCGGCAAAATGACATCTTTCTAATCTGCTGCAGGAGAGATGGGTGCCCGAGCTCCCGCAGCCTCCCGAGAGCCTGCCCAGGCCAGCCTCGTTGAGAGGGTGGGCAGACATAAAGCCCAGGACCTAGGGGCAGGTGGGTGGAGAGGGGACCTCAGGGTCCAGAGTCAAGGACATCCCTAGAGGGGTTTACCACAGGCTTTTCTAAGTGTTTAGCTGTACATGTGCTTTTTAAAATAGTCCAGCTGGGCGTGATGGCTCATGCCTATAATCCCAGCACTTTGGGAGGCTGACGCAGGTGTATCACCTGAGGTCAGGAGTTCGAGACCAGGCTGACCAACATGGCAAAACCCCATCTCTACTAAAAATATATATATTTTTTTGAGACGGAGTTTTACTCTTGTTATCCAGGCTGGAGTCCAATGGTGCAATCTTGGCTCACTGCAACCTCCGCCTCCTGGGTTCAGGCAATTCTCCTGCCTCAGCCTCCCGAGTAGCTGGGACTACAGGCGCACGCCACCACGCCCAGCTAATTTTTTGTATTTTAAATAGAGATGGGGTTTCACCATGTTGACCAGGATGGTCTCAATCTCATGACCTCATGATCCACTCACCTCGGCCTCCCAAAGTGCTGGGATTACAGGTGTGAACCACCCCGCCCAGCCTAAAAATAAATTTTTAAAAACATTTACTGGGTGTGGTGGTGGGTGTCTGTAATCCCAGCTACTTGGGAGGCTGAGGCAGGAGAATCACTTGATCCTGGGAGGTGGAGGTTTCAGTGAGCTGAGATCTCACCATTGCACTCCAGCCTGGGTGATGGAGCAAGACCATCTCAAAAAAAAAATGTATATATAAAGAATATTCTCTGTTTCTTTCTGTCCAAAGTTAGGTCTTCAATTCAATTTTCTTTCTTTCTTTTTTTTTGGAAACAGGGTCTTGCTCTGTCACCCTGGATGGGGTGCAGTGCCAGTCCCAGCTCACTGCAGCCTCTACCGCCTGGGCTCAAGCGATATTCAAACCTCAGCCTCCTGAGTCGCTGGGACCAGTGCACACTAACATGTCCGGCTAATCTTTGTATTTTTTTGTAAACACAGAGTCTTGCCATGTTGTCCAGGCTGGTCTTGAACTCCTGACCTCAAATGATCTGCCTGCCTTGGCCTCCCAAAGTGCTTGGATTACAGGATTGAGCCACCACACCAGCCTCAATTTTCACTTTAAATTAAAACCTGGAAATTGCTCAGGGTTACAAGGATGAGCCGTTAGACGCTGGTTCTGAGGTGGTGCTCACTTCCCGTCTCCCTCTCCTCTGCGGAAGAGTGTGCTTCTGCCTGAGTCATTGGACCTGAAGGCTCTTCTCACCCCCCACTCCCTCCATGGCTCCCACTCTCCCTCCCAGCCCCTGCACCGACCTCAGCCACATCCCCTCCATGCCTCACACTGACCTCAGGCTGCCAGGTCAAGGTAGAACTCCCCTCACACCCTCCTATGTCCAGGGGTGGAGGTGAATTGGGGCTCTGGATGCCAAGAATGGAGGAAGGACAAATGCCAGCCCCAGAGACCCTAGCCTCCTCAAAGAACAACGGGAGATGGCGCCTGTTTGCCCAGCAGCAGCCAGGCCAGAGCAGGTGGGGGCCGGGGTGGGTGGGCACAGGCCTGGGCTTGAAGATCGAGGCAATGCTGCCCCCTCCTGGCTAATTCGGGGCTGCTTCTCTGACAGGCACTGCCAGGCTAAGCTGCTGAGGTTGGGGACACAGCGAGTGACTCTCCAAGAACAGCATGTGACAAGCAGACCCTTCCTGGCGGTCGGCCCGGCTGAGAGCTGCCTCCACTGCCCATCCTGTCCAGGCTTCTCACTGCCCAAAGCATCTTCTGGCCCTCACACCTTCAGGGCAAAGCCTGAGACCCCTCCCAGCTGCCCATGATGCAGCCCCGGGAGCAGCCCCACCCCTGCACCCCGGGCCCCTGCCACTCTGCATCTCCCGAGTTCTCTGTCCCTTGTCCTTTCGGGGGCACCTACATGCTTTGCTTTCACCTTGACTTCCATCTTCGCCCTCGCCAACACACTGTCTCCTCTTGTCCTCCTTGGTCCCTCCCTGAGGAAACTTTCCTCTCCCCCACTTTCAGCCAGAGAAACCCCACTCCTCTGCCCACACCCCCACCTGCCCTGCCCCGTCTCAGGGACTGCCCACTGTCATCAGAGTCCCACAGTTCTGGAACTTGGGGCAACTTGGCCCTCTTCCAGGCCTACTCCCTGCACTCTCTAAAGGGCGATCCTGAGCCCAGAGAGGGGCAGGAGCTGCACAAGGCCACACAGCCTGTTAGTGGCAGAGTTAGGACTGGAACACAGCTCTCCCAAGTCCCTGCCTGGGGCTCCTTGGAGGACACATGGCTTCCCTGCCTGGTGAACCAGAATGGAACTCTTCAAGGACAGGGACTGTACCATTCCTTCCAGTGTCCCCTGCCCCTCACCCAGAGCAGGACCCACAGGAAGCAACTGTGAATACAAAAGGTAAAAAGGAATAATTGAAAATATATCTCTAATGCCTTCTGTGTGCCGGACATTCAGCAGGCACCAGCTCTGCTACTAGAAATCTTGGTCAAGTTGCTCAATTTGGTGTTGAAAAACAATTTCTGGGGATGGGGGGCAGTGAGTGCCCCAGGAGGGGCCTCAGTCATGAATGTCGACGATCAGCGGGCACAGGTGGGGTGAGTGCTTAATGCCCATGGTGAAAGCAGGGGCATGGGGCTTGTGCACAGTGACCTGCTGGACCTCGTGGGAGCCAGGGCCAGGCCGAGGTGTGTGGTCCAGCGGGTAGGCGAAGCGCTTGGCCATGCTGTAGCTAGGACTGCGGTTCTGATAGGTGGATGGCTCCGGCTGGGTGTGCATGGTAGGTCCAGGGCCTCCTGCCACATCCTCTTTGTAGAACCAGTTCTTGTCCCTGGAGGCCAGACTGTAGCAGGGAGCAGCTTGGCTGACGGGGTTGTTAGGCCCCAGCAAGAGTGGCAGCTGGTACTGGTTGGGGGCCGGGTTGGGGTCCATCACTCTGTATGGGCGCCGGTAGCCAAAAGTGTACTGGGGAGCCCTGCGTTCCCCAGGTGGGGGGGTCTTCTCAAAGTAGTACTGGCAGGATGCGAGGGTGGGGTTCAGGCCTGAAAGGGAGTGGTAGGAAGGGAGGGTCTCAGAGCAGGGACCAGACCTCATTCTCTGCTAGCCAACTGATGGGTCCTCGTTATCCTGCTGTGACCTGAGGCTGACCACCTCAGCAGTAGGGCAGGAACATTAAGATGGTCACTTAGGCCATCCTGACATCAGGATGATGACACAGTGGTCATCATGTAAAATCCATAATGTCATCATCCAGACACTGTCCCTCTGACACAGAACATCCTAAGATCACTGCGGTCTGTGAGCTCATTCGCGTGACAATATTGCATCCACAACAGGAGCCCATGTCATCACAACATCACCTGGTGACATGCTGTGTGTCGTAACACTGACTTCAAGACGTGGTGGCAGCATCACAATGTCAGTGTCTTGCAGGGAGATACTGGCATCCAAACATTCCCAGGGAAGGAGTCTTGACCCTTTGCCCCTGCTCAGGTCCTAAGGGTGCACCCCATCCCCCAACCTTCCAACCCCCAACATCTGTGCCTAGCCCCATCTTACGCAGGTTGGAGATGCGCTCCTCCATGGGGACCTGCGGGCAACTGGACATTCCGAACCGAGTTATTTTGGGATCCAAGACATAGCAAGGCCCAGGGCTGCTGTGATCCACGATCCCTGCAGGGCAACCAAGGAGAGGGCCTGGTCAGCCCCAGAGGCTGCCCTGCTGAGCACCTGGCCTGCCTCCAGTGAGATTCCCTCCCCCTTCAGATCCTTTGGCCCCTGGGTATTTGGGAACCCTTGATTTCCTCATCTGTAAAATGGGACTTTTAAGACATGACCTGATATTCTCAAGAACTTGCTCAGAGGAACAATAAAATAACAGCTGGACAGCAGCTTGGACAGCCACCCACCCAATCGGGGATTGGGGCTGAGGGGAAGTAACAGCCCTGTGGCTGCTGCTGGCATTCAGAAAAGGCCCAGCCAGGCCAGGGGCTTTCCCTGCTGAGGTGGGTGTTCTCTCCAGGGAAAGGCCTGGCAGGCACCCCAGATCTCAGACCCTCGGCTGCATGCCACCACACGTTGGCTAGCAGCCCAGGTCATCTGTGGCCTCTGCTCCTGCCCTTCCAGTGACTACTAGTCCACCTGGGAAGTTCTGGGGTCCACCACTGCCCCACTGGCCCCCTAGCTGTTCCTGTCTGGCCACAATGGCAAGTGACCCCAGCAGAGCATGGTGACCAGAGCTGAAGGGCCCCAGCCAAAGGCCAGATAGAGGGAGACTCTGCTGTGCCAGCTGGACAGGGCCAGCATCTCCTACAGGCTCCCTTGGGAGAGGCAGCTGGGAGATGCCCATGGAGTTACCCTACTTTCAATCCCTGCTGGCTTCCTATGGACCTAGGGGATCCCTCCAGTGTCCCACTCAGATTCCCAGTGGCTACAGAGAATGGCTCTATGACTCTCGCCTCAACCTCCAACCACAGCTCCAACCCCAGGGCGATGACTGGGGTGGCAATGCTCACGCTTCTCTGAGTGCCGGGTATGCAGGGTATAAACCGGCGCCTTGAACATGGAGATGTCATGATTCATGTAGCCTGTGCAGGATGGCCGGAGGTACTTGGCGGGCCCGGGACCTGTGAGGATGAACGGGACAGCCCTCAGCATGGGCCCACCAGGTCAGAGGCAGGGGAAGCCCCAATACAGGCACCGTGGGAACATTGGAGGTCTTTGGTCTTCCTGCTGACACACTGCCACGACGCCCATCATCATCCAGCTGCTTCGCTTGGGCGAAGGCAGTGTTTCCAGATAAAATGAACTTTCCCTTGGACAGACAATGCATAATAAGAAAGTTACAATTAATTTGAGAGCTTATTCTGCACCAAGTTCTACACTAGGCATCTGATGTGGATTATTTCCGTTAAGCTTCCCAACAACGCTGTAAGGTAGATGCTCTTGTTTTTTCCATCTTACAGAATATTGAGGCTTAGAAATATCAATTTATGCCGGGCTCGGTGGCTCATGCCTGTAATCTCAGCACTTTGGGAGGCTGAGGTGGGCGGATCACGAGGTCAGGAGTTAAAGACCAGCCTGGCCAACATGGTGAAACCCCATCTCTACTAGTGGCAGGTACCTGTAATCCCAGCTACTTGGGAGGCTGAGGCAGGAGAATCGCTTAAACCCGAGAGGCAGAGGTTGTAGTGAGCTGAGATGGTGCCACTGCACTCCAGCCTGGGTGACAGAGCAAGACTCCATCTTGGGAAAAAAAAAAATATGTGTATATATATATGCCACCCTCCCCCTGGCAACATTGCCTGTAAGGGTCAGCTTGGAGGCTCAGGGCTTTGCAAGGAGCAGGCTAGAAGGAGCCCTGGAGAGAGGGGAGTGGGCCCAAGCCCAGAGTAGGAATGGCTCTCACCTTTGAGCATGGCCATGATGACAGGGGTCTGCTTGATCTCCTGCCATGAGGGCAACGGCTCTTTCTCTGGGTGCTGCACAGGGCACACGGAGTTCCTGGTCCTCTTGGCCAGTTTCATGGCTGTGGCCGGGGAAGGAGCAACAGCAGCTAGAGCAGGGTCTAAGCAGCAGGTAAGGGGCTGGGGAAGCCCTGCCTGAGAACCCCCTCACTCTGCCCTAGACACCGAGGAGGCTGGGAAGGAAGGCGGTTCTCCAGCTTGAGCAGCTGAGACTGTCTGGAGCACAGCCAGCACAGGCCCCAGCAGTCTAGAGCTAGAGATGATGTCACGGCAGAACTTGGACTGTGAAGCTCCAAGTGTTTATTTCCCCGGTTGCTGTGGCACCCGAATTGTGGCATAGAAATTCTATGCTGGGAGCTTAGTTATGGAACCCTGACTATCCCACTTCCCCCACCACCAACCAGGACCCTGGGTCAGGGAAGGGAAAGGGAGAGGTGGCATCACATCCCAGCCCGTGCTTCCCTCCCAGTGGGTGCCCTAAGGTTGGGGAAAGGAATGGAAAGTGTGGATGGGTTATGGGTGAGGGGTTTGTGTAGCACATACAGTCCCCTGGGGGCTCCCTAGCCCCTGCCTCTCCCACCTACCTCCCCAGGCTCTGGACATGCCCTCCCTTCTGTCAAACCTCCCCAGGCTCTGGACATGCCCTCCCTTCTGTCAAACCTCCCCAGGCTCTGGACATGCCCTCCCTTCTGTCAAACCTCCCCAGGCTCTGGACATGCCCTCCCTTCTGTCAAACCTCCCCAGGCTCTGGACATGCCCTCCCTTCTGTCAAACCTCCCCAGGCTCTGGACATGCCCTCCCTTCTGTCAAACCTCCCCAGGCTCTGGACATGCCCTCCCTTCTGTCAAAGTCTGTTTTTCCCTTGGCAAAGGATCAAGTCAACTCTCACTAAGGTGTGACTGTCTGATAGCTCCTTCCCAGCAAATAATGGAGGATGGAGGGGTGGTGCTGGGCCCTCAAGGGCTTACTTCCTGTGCATGTGACAGAGAACACTCCTTTGGCAGGGGAGCAGTCAGAGTTGGGGGGTGATGTGAGAGGACACGTGGAAGGAGAGGGAAGGTGGCCAGCCCGGCTGACTGATAGATGCACCCCAGGCCTGAGGAGGTGATGGGAACCTCTCCATTCCTAAGAACCCAGGAGGCTTTGGGGCCCTGGGGCCTGTCACCTCCACTGGTTCCTATCTCAGACTGGGGATTTGATCTGAACCGGGTGAGCAGCGTCCAGCTCCAGAACCAGATGCCTGCTGGCTTTAGACAGGGTGCCTGTCACTACCCAGGACACAATTAAGGAAATTAGGGCTGGGAAATGATCAGGGACTTGCCCAAAGTCTCCTATTACATCAAAGTAGCAGAGAGAGAACCAGCGCACAAGACCCAGGGCTCTCCTTGGATCACAGTCTCTGACTGAATAGAAACCAAGCCGTGCTCAATGCATTCCAGCCACAGGCACAGCGAGGGCTCAGAGCAGCAGGCAGGACAGGCATGCAGGCGTCCAGAGGTCCCTGAGGGGCTGCAGGCCTCACAGCAGAGGACGGGGGCCCACCCCCTCCCCAGCAGCAGCAGCAGACCCTCTGTGTGCTCCACATGCCCATGGAGCAACCAAGCCTCTGATTTCTGGGAAGGGAGGCCTGGGCCAGGCTGAGGGTGACCCAGCCTCCGTGGCCTCTGGCCGGGGCCAGTGCTGCCTCCTCAGCTCCATCCATGTCAGCTTTTCCTGCAGGAGATTGTGAGCCCTGATGGTCCGCCAGTGCAGACAGGGCCAGATCTGGGGCTGGGACCCCCACCTTCCTGGCATTTCAGGCCCGGGGAGCCCCCTGCCTTCCTCCCCAACTGCTTCTTCCCGTCATCCTGGTGCACAGCTCTTCGGGAAATCAAGTCACCCCACACCCCAGCAGATCACAAGCCACTCCAATTTGTTCCCTGTGCTCCCTTCCCTCCAGCTCTGACAGACCCAGCTCACCCCTGGAGGTGGCCCTTGGCCCTCACATCCCTTGTGCCTCACAGTTCCAAGTTGCGTG